TCAAATATAGGTCCACAAGCATGATAGGCAAACACTCTACCTCTGAAGTACACCTACAGTGAGCCTCAGATTCTTTTTTTTTTTTTAAACTTTTTAAAAAAAATTTTTTAATATTTATTTTTCAGTTTTTGGCGGACAAAACACCTTTGTTTGTATGTGGTGCTGAGGATCGAACCCGGGCCACACGCATGCCAGGGGAACGCGCTACTTGAACCACATCCCCAGCCCCAGATTCTTTATCTACATAATGAGCGCAAAGATCCTCACTCATCTGCCCCTCACAGAATAGTTATAAGGAATAAATGTACGTTGGGTTCATTTAGGGTAAGATTGCCATATAGAGTCCTTGTTTTGGAATGAGGTGGAGTGGAGTGTAAGCATACATCTGGTTCACATTTCATTTATTAACAAAAAGAAGAAAAAACCAGAAAAGACAAAAGAAAACCTCATGTGTGACTCTACCTTTACCTCCTCAGACTTGACAGATCACACCAAACCCAGATACTTAAGTATGATTCAAATTTTCTTCTGCATTTGAACATGATTCATGAATCCTGACTCATAAGAGTAACATCTCTGTGGGTTTCTCTCCTGACTCTGTTGAATTTCGTTTTCAGTGTGATTGGTGGTGGCCTCAGAGCTGTGCCCTTCACTTATTTTTCACTGTGGTCCCCAGCAGGGACCAGTGCATTGCGCAGATTGTTTCCTTTCCTTACTGTTTCATTCTTACCTTCCTTCCTTCTCTTTCTTTCCCCTTCCTTCTTTCCTTCTCTCCCTCCCTTCCTTCTTATTTTTTTTTTTGGTACCAGGGATTGAACCCAGGGGTGCTTAACCCCACATCCCCAGCCCTTTTTTATATTTTATTTAGGGACAGAGTCTCACTGAGTTGATTAGAGCCTTGCTAATTTGCTGAAGCTGGCCTTGAACTCAGGATGCTCCTGCCTTAGCCTCTTGAGCCTTTGGGATTATAGGTGTGTGCCACCCGGCTCTTCCTATTTTTTTAAAAACATTATTTGGCAGTATTGGGGATTGAAACCAATACTGGGCTAATCTGCCATTGAACTATAGCCCAGCCTTTTTTTTTTTTTTTTGAAGTAGTAGTAGTAGGGTGCTTGGCCACTGAACTATGCCCCCAGTCCTTTTTATTCTTTAGACACAAGGCCTCACTAAGTTGCCAAAGATAGTCTAGAACTTGCTAGCCTCCTATCTCAACCTCCCATGTAGCTGGAATTACTGGTATATACCATTGTGCTGGTATATTTTAAATTTACATATAGTAAAATTTTCTCTTTTCAGCATATAGTTCTATGAGTTTGATAAATTCAGAGCCACATACCCATCAACAAATACATCAAAATATAGAACGTATTCATGAATCCCCAGAATTCTTTCTTGTTGCCTTTTTATTTTTTAAAATTTTTACTTAAAAAAATATATATGTACACATACACACATACATATGCATGCATGCACGCGCGTGCACACATACGTGTGTGTGTGTATGTATATATTTAGTCGTAGTTGGACACAATGCCTTTATTTTATTTATTTTTATACGGTGCTAAGGATTGAACCCAGTGCCTTGCACGTGCTAGACAAGTGCTCTACTGCTGAGCCACAACCCCTTTTTATATTTGATCCCTTTCCTGTCTCCTAGCAACCATAAATCTATTCTCTGTTCCTCTAGTTTTATATTTCTCAGCATGTTGGAATCATACACTTTGTAGCTCTGAGTCTGGCTTCTTTCACTCATCTAATGCATTTGAGATTCATCCAGTTGTTGCATACATCAGTAGTTCATTACTTTTTATTTCCAAGTAGTATTCCATTGTGTGGATATAGTGCAGTTTGTTTATCTCTTCACCATTTTGAAAGACATTTGTGTTTTTTTTACAGGTTTTGGCAACTATGAATAAAGCTGCTTTAAACATTGACATAATTTTTCATCAACAAACTTTGTATGAGCATAAGTTTTCATTTCTCTTATGTAAAGTCATATGAGTGGGAATAAGTCATACAAACTGTTTTCCTAAGTGGTGTATCATTTAGTATTCCTACCAGCAATGTGTAAGAATTTTTGTTGCTCCACATCTTTCTCAGTAGTTGCTATGATTAATTATTTTTCAAATAATTTTTTATACCTTTATTTTATTTATTTTTACGTGGTACTGAGGATTGAACCCAGCACCTCGCAACTGCTGAGTGAGTGCTCTAGTGCTGAGCCACAACCCCAGCGCTGATAAGTCATGGTTTTAAAATATTTTTTTTATTTTTAGTTATAGTTGGATACAATACCTTTATTTTATTTATCTATTTTTATGTGGCCTCACACATGCTAGGCAAGTGCTCTACTGCTGAGCCACAATCCCAGCCCCCGATCAGTCATTTATAATCATTAATTTTGGTGTATAGAGATATCTCGCTGTGCTTTTTTATTTATTTAATTTTTTTGTAGCTGTAGATAAACAAAATGCCTTCATATTATTTATTTATTTAAATATTTTTTAGTTGTCGATGAACTTTTATTTTATTAATTTTTATATGGTGCTGAGAATCAAACCCAGTGCCTCACACATACTAGGCAAGCACTCCACCACTGAGTCACAACCCTAGCCCCTATTTTATTTATTTTTACGTGGTGCTAAGAATTGAACCTAGTGTCACATATGCTAGGCAAGTGCTCTACCACTGAGCTACAGACCCAGCCCCTCATTGTGCTTTTAATTTGCTGTTTCCTTAATGACTAATGATGTTGAATATGTTTGTATGTGCTCATTCACCTTCATTTATCCCATGATGAATTGTCTGTTCAAATCTTTTACCCATTTATAAAGTGGGTTTGAGTTTTTGTGGTCTTGAGTTGTGAGAGTTCTCTGAATATTCTGGATATAAGTTCTTACCCAGAGAACATGATTTGTGCATGCTCTCTTTCAAGCTTGTTTTTCCTAAGATTTCACAAGGAATTTATAAATAGTTGTTCTCATTATAAAATAAGATTCAAATAACACAAAAGGATTTAGAGTAAAAAGCACAGGTTCTCTTTTACTTTCTGCCATCTTTAGCTTTCTTTTTTGGGATAACCACTGTTGATAGTTTGTTAAGGATCTTTTCAATTCTTTTTATGGTACTATAAGTACTATTATGTGTTTTAAAATTAGTTTTATTACTTTTTAGTCAGTAAGTAGCATTTCAAAGAATGTCTGTTTTCCTTTTCAGCCCAGTTGTAGGTAGAATTATTGTTATTCTCTTAAAATAGTGAGTTTTGATGTCTTATGTCATATTTTAGAAAGCCATGATTTGGGGAGGAATTCTAGTAGATAAGGATGAATTATGAGTGGACTAAATTTAAATAGGTCTTTTTAGATTTGCTAAAAATTGCTGTGATTAGTTGAAATGATTTCGTAATGTGTTCATTTTCTTTAAAAAAGTAGTGGGTTGCTTTGCTAAAAAGTCTCATTTGGCAAAGAATGATATTAATAAAACCTTAAAGTTCTGATTCATTCCCAAGTTTTATTTTGTTCATTTTTTCTTTGATCCTTTTGCACTGTTTGAAATCCTTAGCCTAGAATTGACACTTAGTTATCATTTTTATTTTTAGCTTGAATTTGGAGCCTTTTAAAACTATAACTGTGAGAACTCTTTTGCAAAATGAGCTTCATTCAGACAAGCTGTTTTTATCTTTCCATAGGTACGAATCCTAGGATTCAAAATAAGGATTCTCTAGAGGACAATGTTTCTACCTCTCCAGACCCAAGTAAGAGGGGCCAACTGCTAGCAGGAGGTGGATGTTAGGGTTTATGGGATGTTCAGAGCATGAGGAAGCAAGAAAAAGCCCTGTGGGAAGAGAATGGTTTAGAAGTCCATACTCTGTGCGGTACAGGAAAGCAATGAGTGAGGGAGGTTTGTTTGGTTTCTCTGATGTGAAGTGAGAGAGGTGTGGCCCAAGACCTGTTTCAGAATGTAATTCAGTGCACATGGAAAAGGTAACAGATTTACTCATAGGCCTCTTGTGCCAGTCTAGATCTGGCATTAGCTCTTAAATGCCTAATGATGGCTCTAGAAAAAAATTGCAAAGAAATAATAGGCCATTACTGGAACTCCTTACACATCTGTAGATTACGATATTTGATAGTTTGTACTCATTTTGGCCATTCTTGTCAACTTAAATAGATGTACAGTAAGAGAACATCTTATCTACAGTCACAAAATAGCAGGAAAAAAAAATTCTGCCACCTCATAAACTTCATTTTGCTTGACTAGGACCAATGGATATACATCAATGAGTCTTTTTGTCTACATTTTTTGATTAACTTAATCCTTTTATTATTTCTTTAGGTCCTAAATTGTCATTTTTAATTCCTCTATGAAGCATATTACAGATGTTGGTTAGAATAATAATTTCTTATGTGTGACCATTTAGACGGTTTCCAATTTTTTTTTAGTGATGGCATATAATGAAGGTATAGTGAATGGCAGAGGGTATATTTTTTTCTTTCCGTTTATGATTGGCAGATTGATTATTTTCTAAAAAGCTGCAAGCAATGAAAAGATGGATTTTGTTATCTACTTATTATTTCGGGGTAGACCTCCTTAGAGGCCTTCTTTCAGGACCAGAATGTACGGGGTACAAGAGGCCACAGTTTTTCTCCCAGGGAAGAACATCATTAAACTAAGACTCTGAAGCCTTTTCAATGTGGGCTTTAGGACCAGGCATTTTGGTGTATTTTGGTGTGTGCCCAGCAGAAAGCATTTTTATAGGTTTTTTATAACCCCAAGGATTGGTAGGCTGATGAGGGTCAGCATGACTTACAAGGTTAAAAGATATAGATGACTTTTATTCCTGACCTCCCCACCATGGCTTTGATCAGATTTCTCTATTCTCCTGTATCTGTCTAGGAAGTAGGAATAAGTTTAGCTTCTTGTCTACAATGGGGGAAATGGGGTGATTATTTTGGCTATTCTGTGCTGAAGTATTAATGAGTTAATAAGACTGTGTAGACCATGAAGGTGATCCTAAGAGAGTTTAATCATCTTCCCCACTTCAGTGGTGCTACATGGGGCATCTTCTCACTGTGATTTAGTACACAGGTCTTCCTCATCCATGTGAGGGTGATGTGAGGGCAGATGAGGCAACCATGTCTTTAGCTGTAATCACTGTATAAATATGAGTTGTGAAGAGCCCACTCAAGACCCAGAGGCAAAGGCACAAAATTTTTTTCTTCCATATTGCTTGTCTTATAGAGACTTTGAAAATAATCCTTACTTAAAAAGATGTTACTTAAAGATTAAGACAGGTGTGGAGGCTTATTTCCACTGGTTCAGGAAGCTGAGGCAGGAAGACTGCAAGTTCAAAGTCAACCTCAACAACTTAGTGAGGCACTAAACAACTCAGCAACACCCTGTCTCTAGATAAAATATATATAAAAAAGAAGGGGGTGTATGTGCTGGGAATGTGGTTCAGTGGTTAAGTGCTCCTGGGTTCAATCCCTGGTACTGAAAAAAAAAAAAAGTCGCCATAATCCTCACTTCAATGCCTGAAGTGGAATAACTTTATAAAGAAAAGAGGTTTATTTAGCTTATAGTTTGAGAAGCTGAAATTGTAAGCTACATGATGTTAGCTTGGCTGAGAGCCCCTCAGATGCATCACATGATAGTGAAAGGCTCACAATGAGAGATCATGTGGGAAAGATCAATAGGGAAAGATCATATGAAAAGACAGGAAACCAGAGTATGGAGAGGGGCTAGAAGAACCAAGAACACTCAAGCACTATCTTAAGATCCCATCAGAGCTTCCCTGATCCCTCCCCAAGGGCATGCTCCTAATCACCTCCTTTGGGCTTTACCTCTTAGAGGTTTTACATTTCTCCTCACCCAACACTGGGACCAACCCCCCCAAAACAAATCCTTGGGGAACAAACCACATCCAAACCAAAGCACCACTTAATTACTTTCCCTCAGTGATTCTCAAATGGGCAGTATCAGGGAACTTGTAGCATTATCTGCAGACATTTCTGGGTTTCACCACTAGAGGGAGCCAGTGGCACCTAGTGTATAGAGTTCAGGGATGCTGTGTAACACTCTACAATGCTGAGGATAGCCCTCCTCAGCCCAGAATTAGCTGTTTGAAGTGTCAATGTTTCCAAGATTGAGAAATCTTGCTTTAACTGAAGAGCAGACAATTCCAGACAGACCCATGTGGTTGGCCCACTCTGCTTATTGCAGCTTTTTTTTTTTCTGGATTGTCTAACTTTGTCTCTTAAAGTTCCAGCCTCAAAACTTTCCCAGACATCCTCCCTTATTTTTTTCTCCTGCCCTTTTGGATCTTTTGCAGTTCTCAAAAGTATAACTTATTTCTGTGACTGTATGCTGTTTTGCTGTCAAATCAGGCTCAGCTGTCTTCCTTTCCCACTTAGCCACTCTGCAGTCCTCCAGAGGGGCTCCAGCCTGAGCCTCTCATCTGCTCTCAGAAAATTGATTTGCTTGGACATGTAATCCTGCCTGACCTGCAGTAACCTCACTGGTATTGTGGCTGTAGCTCATGTTCAGCAGAAAATATAATATATCAGCTGCGAATCCCACTTGCATGATGGGATTGGAGAAGCATGTGCACTGCATTGTCTAACAAAATCTGTTTCTCTCTTTTCTCTTTCTCCCTCCCCCACCCCTTTCGTCTTCTCCTTCCCTATCCTGGCAATTTTATTACCTTTTACCATGAACTGTTTTCTCACCCTTGTTCCCTCTTCTTCCCCCATATCCCAAACCTGCCATGGTGACCACACATACCTTTTTACCCTGTTATGCGAGGCAGTTCTGACACTGTCTGCTCCCCCTGTAGTGCCAGGCTTCTGTTGCACAGTTGGAGTGGACTGGAAGTCTCTCACTACTCCGGCATGCCTCCCCCTCACCACCGACTACTTCCCCGACCGCCAGGGCCTGCAGAATGACTACACGGAAGGCTGCTATGATCTCCTGCCGGAAGCAGACATGGACAGGTTGGTTCAGAAAAAGGTATTCAGAGTCCTTGGAGTATAACTAAGTGACTCAGTGGTAGAGTGCTTGCCTAGCACACACAGGTCCTGGGTTCAATGTCTAGCATGATTAAAAAAAAAAAAGCTCAGCTTTGTTTATGAGGGTTCTGATTATGTACAAACAAATACATCATAATATTGAACTTTTAAATCTGTATTCTTTTATATTTAGGAGATTTTGTGATGCAAGAACTGTTCATTTCTTTCACGTTCTGTTGACATTAACAATTTCTCCTCTTTGATTTCAAATTTTCTTTTGCAGTTATTTTGGGCACACTAAATCTCTTTTTCTTTTCTAAGGTTACTCATTTGGGCATTGATTATTACTTGCCTTCTTTTTCCATGCCTTTGAACTTATCATTTCTCCCAGACTGATTTACAAATTGATAATTTTATGAAATGCCATATAATGGTTGTCTGGGATGAAGTAAAGGACTTCACACTATGAACTCTTAAGTGTCACTTCCCAAGGCCAAACACATATATCCATGTGCACAATCATCTTTTTTTTTTTTTTTTTTTTT